TCCGTGGGCGGTACTATGGACCCTAACAACCTATTCTTGACGGCGAAGCCAACGCCATGCTCCCTTATCTCTTCTGGTGGTTTGCCCTATCAGAAGAAGGTAAAGTCCTTCTCCCGTATGCTATCGGTCAGGGATGGACGTGTCTGCTGCAAGATGACCACTTCCATCTGGAGCCTGCGTAGTTCGCTGTTGATCACAGCTGTCTTGCGGGCCTCGTTCACTTCCAGTAGATCTTCCGAGAGACCCGGTGTCATGGTCTTGACATTCCATGTGCCCAGTTTGAGAGCTGGGTGGCTCTGTGTGTTTTCTTTTGCCTGGTGCATGATTGACAATCCGCTTGTTAGATTGTGGCCTAAGCCCATGCACCCAGTGGCACAGGTGGATCATGGTGGAACAGCACATTATTAGCTGGTGGCTGCCCAGCTTGAGGCGGGTGGTAACTGTTCTATGAAATCGAATGATTACCTACACCGACGGAAGCAACCACTGGCGCCTTACTCTATGCCAATTGAGTGGTAGGCTTATCACCGGTAACTGTTGCTTCCCGTGTTGAGCCATCGCCAAGGCGATGCTGGAGAAACCTCTCCAGGGCACAGTCCTGGGCAGTAGTTATGGAGGACCAGCTGTTGCCCATGCAGCAGATCCACCCTCTCCACGCCACCGATGTGGTCCAAGGGAAGGGCAGGCGCTGATACGCTTGGCACCATTGTCATCGCAGGAGTTACCGGACATTGTAAACAGCTGCAAATTGCCTTAGGCACTTCGACTCCTGATTTTTTCTCGGGGTTGACTCCCGAAACATTTCCCATAAATGGGTTTAGCAGTAAGACAGCAGAGGTTTGAATTCGGTGTTTTCCTTTCCCTAGATGAGATGCCTTCCCAGGCTGACGAGTCCCATCTGCCCGATGCATCTGGTGTCAAAGCACCAGAGGCCCGCCTTCGCCCCTTCTCCTGTTGGTAGAGGCAGTTCCGCCAGGCCTAGAGGCTAAGCCACACGTGCTGGCCAGGAGCTGGACTTGGTTGTTAGATGTTATTTGAGACGCTCACCATCAGGGGCACCTTACAGGTTGTGGGAGCTTATCTCTACAAACCCCTCCCCCCTCCCCAGGCTATAACAACCCTTGGAACCAATTAAGACTAATCATAGCTCAGTCGAGCGAGCTTCGGCCTCACGAGTGGGGGGTCCACGGTTCAAGACTCCTACAGCCAAAATCACGACTATATAGCATTGGGAAGGGGTCAGGATAAGGATTTGGGTTGGGTCAGGGGGAAGGAATGGTGCCCAACCACTTGGACGGTCTCGGATTGATCGCCGACCTGCATGAAGGGAGACCGTCGCTCTACCGTCCAACCCAAGGGAAGAGTTTAATAGATGAGTCAGATTGTTGATTCATCTTCATTAAAGGCTGTGTTGACCTCTTCATCAGAGGCACCATAAGGCGTCTCCCTTTGAATAATTTCTATGCAATACCTGTTTGCGAATCCACTGATGTCAGAGAGGAGCCTCCATCTGTAGCTGTGAATGAGAGCATGATTGACGGAGGCGCTCGACAACACGTGGTTGAACTGACCAGGGCCTCACTTCTGGCATTATGGTACATTTCTCCCAATAATTGTTGCTATAAGAATTGTGGGAGACCTCAACCAGTGTCTCATTCAGAAAAGATTTTGATGAACTTTTAATCAGTTTTCGATCTGGACAATTTTGGAACCATCAAAAATTTTGGTCTATCAAGGTGGATCTCCAGCACAAGTACATGAATCACGGCTTATGTGGCCAAGAATTTTGACCAGCCATATCTTGCCTATCTATTTCTGGTTGCAGGTGAGGCCAAATCCAATTTCTGAAGATATATAGAAAAGGCTTCCATGTGCTCCCAATAGAAACATTCACTCAGGAACTTGTCATCAAATGAAAGAAGATCAAGTGTGGGTTATCTGCCAATGGAGATCAGAAACAAGAAGACAATTTACCTCAGGAAGTGTTGGTTCCAAAGTGTAGTGGGTCTTGGTCAAAGACCAGCAGGCAGGCTCATCTGAGGACACAATCCTACAATCAGGGTGAAACTGACCTACGGGCAAATTAAATCACTGCAATGATGCAGGTCTTTGATTTAGAACGGCAACCTCCACACCTTCATTTTTCCACTGTCTAAGTTGTCTTCAGTGGTTAGTAAGCCGGAAAAAAAATCCCCCAACTCCTTAAATCGCTCTAGAAGAGTACCAGGTCAGGATAAGGTGATCCCGAGACTGGTCAGGTAGCTGTGCAGACACGCTGGCTTTGCTTCTCACTCGGCTCTTTCAACTCTGTAACTCAAGATCATTTATGGTAAAAACGTAGTTCCAGTCTACAAAGGAAACATCTCTTCAATGGTCAGTACCTTTTTAATGGTCCAGTATCTTTTTAACGTTTGAAACAACTCTTGACACACTCATCTCAAAACAAATTAGATCATTTTTTTTTACCATCATCAGTTACTGTGTGGTCGGCAATATGGTTTTAGGAAAGGTGCTGCTTCTACTCTTTTATTAAACCTCTTGAGTAAGTGGCATTAATCACTGGACAACTACAATATCAGCTGTTGGTGTGCTGGACATTGTAGTGGTTTTAGACCAGTTATGGAACACTGCGTTATATTTAAAGTAGAGAACACTTGGTATCTCGGGATTCATCTTACGTTGATTAGCATGAATTACCTTTCCTTCAAGAATGGACAGTAAGGACTATTCTCAATTAGTACCAGAGTACCACAGGTGTTGTATTTTGAGTCCATTGTTGCGGAATGCCCACTTCAACTGCCAATTACAACTCAGCCCTGAAAATCTAGCCTGTGTTAGTGAAAATACTGTAATATTTACACAGCAAAGAAGAATTTCTTCCTGAGGAAGGCGATGGCAGGTCATATTTGTGGTAGAGAGAACACAAGCGATGAGCACCTAGGAATGTCATACGAACCAGTGCAAGAAATCTAGTAGTCACTGGTGAAGTTGACATCTTAGGGATAAAGTTTGACACAGCAATGACCTTTGAAACGGCAAGACTGACGTTTTGAAGCGAATAAGAAAGGCAGCTGAGAATCTAACTCCAGCCTTAAGGTGCATCTCCTACATTCTTGACAGCAGGATTTGGTCAACCTTACAGAAAGCTCAAGTTGGCCGCCATCGTGAGCCCTCACCTCTGACGGCTTGACTCACTCGTCATGTATCTGAGTTTTGGAGAAGGTAGATAACTCTCACGATAATTCTGGTCGTACTCACCCTGAAGCAGAAGTTGGCAGCCACAACACAGGGCGCTCAGCCATCGCCAAACGTGTAATTGGAACATATACTTTCGTCATGTAGAAAGGAGTGAAAT